ATTCAGTGCTTCTATCTCATGGGTTTTATGCATCTGTTTAAATTATTTACATCATTTCTATTAATCTTTGGTATATTATTGCATTTAGAAATTCATGTATCTGTTTTATAATTTTATTTTAGTGGAATAAAAATGTATGCATGGCTCAACACTTATCAAAGAAGCTTCTTTTTTCAATAGATGGCGATTAATACAAATACCCAAAATCATGCAAGGTGAAGAAAATAACTGATGGTAAAGTGCTCAGATCTAAATGGGACATTTATTTTTTTTATCTTATTTTGCAATAGAATTTTATTTAAAAGGGTTGAGGTTTATATAATCCAAGGAGGTATTGACTAAATTGAACTGTTTTTATACAATTTTTTATTTAAATTTAAAACAATCTTACTTAACATACAAATCTCTGTTCCTTCTTCCTCACATCCTCCCTTTCCCCCCACCAGCCTCCTCCTGGTTCCACCCCCCATTCACTCTAAAGGGAGGTTAAGGCCTCCCATGGGGTAGCATCAAAGTGTGTCACATCATTGGGAGCAGATCCTAGGCCCTCCCTGGGTGTGTATCTAGGCTGAGAGAATATCCCTCCATAGGGAATGGACACCCAAAGTCCATTCATGCACTTGGGATAATTACTTATATCACACTTCCTGTCCCCACTACTCATTCAGTGATCAAGATGCAAGAGGATATAAAAAGACTACAAGAGTCAGAGAGATTAGATTAGCAAAGAAATTAATTACTTTATATACATAGAGTACACTGCACACACAGAACCACACCCTCTGGGACTGTATTACAAGACTGTACAAGAATAGACAAACCAAAATCTCACCGTGAATGAGTTAGGGGTTCCTTAAGTCCAACTTTTAATTAAATAGCTGTTGGCAACTGTGTGAGGAGTGGCTGGTGAGAGCTATTTCTCTATTAATGTGGCCCCAACGGAGCATTGTATGCTTCAGAGATAATCTGGCATCCCTACACATAGAGCCATTACTAAATATACTGAGAGACAATGAAAGAAAGAGGAGAGAGAGAATATGTGAAGTTGGAAGGAAATTATTATAAGGTATTCAATTATAATGGATAATCTGCGCAATATGTTCATGAATTCAGTTTGCAAGTATAATTTTCCTACTCTGTTCATAAAAAATATTGACAAAATATTTTCTTTTTGTATAAATTTTATTTAACTTAGAAACAATCTTACTTTTATATCAATCCCAGTTCCCTATCACTCCAATCTTTTTCTTTGCTGTATCTTTGTCTGGTATGGTTAACACTAACAAAGTTTTCAAAAAGGAAATTTGAAAATGTTTCTTCCTTTCCTAGTTTCTTTTTGTTTGTTTGTTTGTTTTACTTTTAGTTTTTCTGAGACAGGGTTTGTATTGCTTTGGAGCCTGTCCTGAAACTAGCAATGTAGACCAGACTGGCCTTGAACCCACAGAGGTTCATCTGCCTCTGCCTTTCTAGTGCTGGGATTAAAGGCATGGACCACCACCACCCAGCTGGCATTTCCTTGTTTCTAAAACAGCTTGAGAGATAGTCACATATTAGTTCTTCTTTGGAAGCCTGATGGGATTCTATGCTGAATTTGTCTGGGCCTGATATTTCTTTATTAACTGGGAGATTTTTATTTATTTATTTAAATTAGAAACAAGCTTTTTTTTTTTTACATGTCAATTCCAGTTCCCTCTCCATCCCCTCCTCCCTTGCCCCCTACCAATCCCCTATCCCACTCCATTTTTGCTCCCCAGGGAGGGGAGACTTTCCATGGAGGATCTTCAAAGACTGTCACATTATTTGGAGCAGGGCCTAAGCCCTCCCTGATGTGTTTAGGATGAGAGAGCATCCCTCTATATGGAATGAGTTCCCAAAGTCCATTTGTACACTAGGGATAAATACTGATCCACTACCAGAGGCCTCATAGATTTCCCAGGCCTCTTAATTGAAACCCATGTTTAGGAGGTCTGGGTTTGTCCTATGCTGGTTTCCCAGCAATAAAGGGGAAGAACTAGAGGTGAATATGATCAAACTACTTTGCACAAAAAAAATAATCTCCAGACAGCGCCCCTTACCAGCAGGAAGTAGTTTGGAAAGAACGACGCCCAAATTCCCAAATATTGTGTATAAATATTTGATTTCATTTAATTGGACTTTGTTATATAAAATTAAATAAAAAAAAATCTCCAACCACTAATAAAATAGATTTTAAATATTTATTTGTGTATATTTATAATCACTTACATAGTTACACAAGCATAATAAGTTTACCAAGAGTTATATGACATTTTATGGATATATAATAACATATTTGGCGAAATTTATTTTCAAATGTATGAGCACATACAGGTATGACTATCTACAATATTTTATAAGTATGTATGTACATAAGTTTCTATATGCATTCATATTCATAGCTAGTCTATACTTATTTATGGCATGTATGTTAAATATTAATACATACATGTATATATTAAAAGATGACTGCATGTATATAAACACATATCAGTCATATGTGATTTCTAAATTTTTAAAAACTCCCCTATTTCTTTCTGAAGTTCATAATCCTTTTCCCATGAAAATTTCCCATGTAAATTTCCCTGTAAATTTCCAGGAGTATTTTGAATTAGTCTTATGTCTTCGAGATAGAGTTACTCTGTCAGCCTGGAAAATTACTGACCTCTTTTACTTAACTGGACTAACTGGTTGTTTTGCTTCAAGGTTATTATCATTTATGGTAAACTGAATGAGGTTTCTTGAAATGCTTCATCTGAACTTAAAGCCAGTTATTTGTGATTCTACAGCTCCCTCTCCTTTCTATATATACATCCAACATGCAAAGTTCATTCATCATAGCTTGCCACTTGGCACTCAGTATATGACAGGTATGGATCAGGTTTTCCTTTGCTTTCCTAGGTGAGGCAAGTCCTGCTAGTACTTAAGTAATACCAGATGCAGTCACTGAGCTAAACAAAGATTTCACTTGTGGATTGATAAACCAGCCCCATAGGAACTTCCCTGGGAAAGAGACCTAAGTATCAGGCTTGCAGAATCGTGGCGCCAGACTTTCAGGTTAGAAGAGGGGGGCGTTGATAATTATTTTACCTGATCTCCATCTAACTCTGGCATACTTGATGGCTTCAATAAAATGGCGAGAGCATTACCAGGAACTCAGACGACTCAACTTATGCTTTCATAAGGACAATAGAACTGACTTGTGATCCTCGTATTCAGGTATGTAGGGGGATTTGGTAAGTTTTTAGGCTATGGCTTTATCTTTACAGATAACTTCTCTACTTTTTCTTCTTCCTTATGCCTGCTAGGAGGAATACTGTCCTCCTAAAACAAGTGGCAAAGACTTACAAAGAAGTATATTTAAGGATCTTGGATTTCAGAAGATGGAGAGTTAATGTCTACTGAGGGAACCAAATTCCCAAGTTTTCTAATGGATCCATTGAAAATGACTCTGTAACATTGAATCTTAGTGGATAGTGATATCAGTGTGGTTTGATTAGAGCTAAAGAAAATATATTCCCATGTCCATTATTTTTCAGCCTCATAAAATGAGACTTGTACCCATCCCATGTTCTTCTCAACAAGAATAAATTCTTTATTATATCTAGAAATAATAAACCAAGTCAGAAAGGGATAGGACACGTGATACATTCCTGTTGAGTTTTTACAATGTGTCTTTTTTTTTTACATGCATACATCTACACACATACATATATATGTGCATACACATATACATTTTCTTTATTAATTTGTTATAAGTTGTTACAGTATATTTCAATGTAATAGTGTTGATACATATATACATTTGTGTAAATATGTATATTCATATGTACACATTTGTGTGTGGATAACAATAATAAAGAAATAAAGACTATGGCTTGAGAGCAGTGATGTGAAAAAAACTGTATTAGTAAGGGGAAAGGGAAAGTAATATAATTCTATTTCATGTACAAAATAATTTTTAAATGTTAATGTCATAGTAGAGAGCAGAAACATTGTAATTAAAAATCTTGGAAATCAAAGGAGATGAAGAAGTGAGAGATATGTGTTCTTTTAAAAATGTATGAAAATACAACTATAAATGAGAAATATTTCTAGTGGGACAACTATTATTATCTATGTAAGACCTGCACAGGATTAGTGCCACCATTTGCCATTGTGGAAAAGGGAGAAACTCAAAAAAGACCTCATCCCACTCTGAGGCTTTATAGGAAGCTAATAGCTGCTGAAGAGGAAAAGATACACTTTTTTCAGTGATGTAACCACTGGTAAGTAATGTTCCTGTAAACAAACCTTTAACATGGTCCTATAAAATACCCTAATTAAGCTCAACAGATTATCATAAAGAATAAAAGGTGTGATATTATAAAGGAAAGTTGTTGGAAAGAGGAAGATTAGTAGGACTGGGAGGGCACAAGAGAGGGCAATGGAAGGGAATACAAAGTATATGCATGAGTAGAAATAAACTAATAACATCCATTATATATAATTAATATATACTAATAAAATATAAAAGAAAGACAAAGGAAGAGATTAATCAGTAATTAAGAGTATTTGTTGCTCTTTCAGAGGACCCAGGTTTAGTTCTGGCATCCAGATGGTGGTCACAACCATATCTAACTCCAATTTCAGGAAATCAAACAACTTTTCTGACCTCTGTGGGCACCAAGAATGCGAGTGGTCAATACAAACATGCATGTAAAACTCACATGCACACAAATGAAATAATTTTAGAAAAATATTGTGAAAATATATATTATTTTGCTCATTCAAAATTCAAGAAGGATGTATCATAAATATTTTCATTTAAAAAAATAAGTTACTTAGTATTTTGGACTTGATCCAGCAGTCAAATGCGGTAGATTTTATATCTACCATGCACACATCATGTACAATACTAGGGTTATAGAGAAATTGTAAATTCAAAGGAAAGTTAAAATAAATCTAATGCAAACTTTCATCTAATATGTTTTATCACAGGTATAATGGGAGCTACAGGGGTGTTTGGCACACACTGTGTTATCTTGTACCTCCTTCAGATGGTAGTGCTCAGTTCAGGTATGTCTCTCTCACTTGCGCTTAAGAGCCTTACCAATGTCAAACATGCCAAGAAAATCAAGGTTTGGTACAAAGAATCATGACTAATGGAAAGAAAGTATAATAAGCCCACATATAACAGTTTGAAAATGTCAAACTATCTTCAACAGTCTAAATCATTCTGCATTGCTACCAACAAAAAAATAACAGCCACATTGTCTTCATGTTTTGCCATTATTTGTGTTGTCAATGTTTTTTATTTCAGCTATTCTAATAATTGGTTGAAAGCTTACTGGTTTTTTGATTCATAGTATTCACTAATTTTCATCTTTATTTACTGTGGAGTTCAGACAATTCCCTGCTCTACAACATGTGGAACAGTAACTTTCAAGCTGATTACTGTGATGAGTGACTCCATTTTAAAATGCAGCGGTTTGTTACATTTTGAGTTTGTATACAGTCAGAATAACTATATACATTTGTGCAAGTAAACTATCATTGCCAACCCAGTATGAATCTCTCAAAGAATGAAATCACAAGTTGCTTAATTGTACAAGTAAAGAAAATAACACTTATTAACTTATCAGCATGGATCAGGAACACCTGGGCAAATGGGTATATCAAGACTATCTCAGAAAATCCAAGCTCATTAATTAACACATCAGTCCAATGAATGTGGCAGCCCCTTCATCTGTACCACATAAAAGGTCAACAGTTTAACACAAAGAGGCAGCAGTGCCTGCCACATTCTCATCTACAACCCTTGTGCACGTATCACCTGACACACAGGCAATGGATTACCTAATGTCCCTGGAGCCTCAGTTCAGCAAAATTTCCACTACATGGCATGGCCTACTCATACTGCAATTTTCCCTGACTATGTTTTCCACACTGCCTTGATTTGTCTTGAATCCAGCCTGTCTTGAAGTGGCTCAACACCTCCAATAGTTCCTTAAAATCTTCCCTAACCACTTGTAGTAACACTTCCTGCTTTAGTATCAATTAGGTAATTAGTAATTAAAATGCCTTCAGGATAAACAAAGTGACATTCTTTGAAGTATGTGTGGATGTTTGAGAGAGAGAAGGAGAAGATATAAAAAGGATTAACAGAGAAAATTATTTCAACAAAAGGTGTGAACACAGATACTAATTCACACTCTTGTCTTTTGATTATTCTCCTTCACAGAAGAATTCACAGTGTCTGGCTTGACTAGGCCAGTCTTGGCTCCATTGGGGGGGAACCTTGAACTCAGTTGTCAGGTGTCCCCACCACAAAATGCAGAGCACATGGAGATTCGCTGGTTCAGGTACCGCTATACACAGCCTGTGCACCTGTATAAAAATGGTAAAGACCTGCATGGAGAAACTATCTCCAAGTATGTAGAGCGGACAGAACTCTTGAAAGATGATATTGGGAAAGGAAGAGTGACCCTAAGGATCTTCAATGTGACTGCCGATGATAATGGGCCATATCACTGCATCTTCAAAGATGGTGAATTTTATGAAGAGCACATCACAGAGGTCAAGGTCACAGGTAGGCACGGATTCCTCTGAGACTACTGTATATCTATGACTTAAAGACTATCTATGGTTGAGTAGTTGGAATATTATCAGTGGTTGACACTTATTGCATGGTTTGATTAGCAAGATGAATTCTATACAATTAGTTTTTGAATTTGATGTCATAGAAGATCAAAAATAAAAATTATTACAGTACAGAAAGTGTTTTGATCAGTAAATACTTTCTTATAGCTACATACATTGTTAGGTTTCTAACATAACAATCAGATTCCTTTTCGGTTGTTTTATTATCCTTTCAAATATTTCTAACAACATTTTAGTAATTTTCCAAATTAACTGAATATTTAAAATATGCTTTTTACTATAAAGTTGGGTGGGTATGGTGATGGGGATGATATTATAAGAATGCATAGAAAAAAAGATGTAATATAATATAGAAATTTTCAATGAAAGAAATAAAATACTCTTTTTATAATAATACTTATATACATTTGTCTCCAATCAATTCACTGACTACTTTGTAACCATTTAATTTTCTAAATCCTTTGAAAAATCATCATTATTCTCAGATATAAAACTGTATATGAAGTATAGACTATGAAGCATTTATTCTACTTTCCCTACTCTGAATTATTCTAGATGAAAAATAAATGAAAGAATGTTAAGAGCATAAAATGTAAAAAAAAATAAAGAATGCATAAATTTGTGCACATACACATAGGGCTCTAAACCCAGATGTTTAACTTTCATTGGATATCACCAACACTCACCTCTGTGATCTAGAGCAGATTTACACAATGAAGCTGGTTGCCATGCTTAAAGGTCAAATGATACAAAAAGCTAACTATTGTTGCTTTTGGTAGTCTTATGGGTCAAATGGAAACTATATTAGACACACACACACACACACACACACACACACACACACACACACACTGTGTGTTAGTCCTAGGAATTTTTCTAGACAGAGCAGGTTTGGTACAGTGTTTTACGTTTCCATCATTTCTCTTTTGGCTTATGCATTAGGCAAGTTTATGTTTCAATAAATGCACAGACATTTTTCAGACATGTTTATTCTGTCTAAGTTAGTATGTGCTTTTCATATTATTGATGTATTGCCTATTTTAAATTAAACACATTTTAATATAATTTTTATTGATTCTTCAATAATTTTATATCATCCACCCCAATCCCACTCACCTCTCAGTCCTTTTCTATCAGTCCTTCACCACTGTATCATCCCCCACCCCAACACAAGAGAAAAATTTAAAAAGAAGAATAAAGATTAATTTAAAAAACTAAAACAGCAAGAAAAGCAAAAAGAAACAAATAAATATTTGCTCCTACCACTTTTCTATCACCTCTTCATTTTATTTTTGTGACAATAGTAGCTAGACACACTATATATACTTTTCTCCAAATAGCTTTATTTACAAATGTTCACAAATTATAAAATTACCTACTACAGAAATACACAGATTCAAGTAGAGTCCCACAATTGTGCTTATAATGAAATTCAATTTCATGATCTATTTACAGCTCAAAATTAGCTAGTGACCATGATAAAACATTAAATTATAAATTATATAATGGTAAAAATCTTGATTTCTGTTCATCATAATCCAAAGATAAAGGTTAGTTTCTCACTCTTAGTAAAAAAAAATTAAAATATGGTTCAAATAAATGAATAAACAAATGAAACAAGTCTTTCCTGTGTTGATTTAGTCTGGACAGGGTACAGACTGTGTATTATAGATTTCTATCTAGCCCTTGCCATTTTCATGAGATTTTTTTTCTTTTTCTTTTTTCATTTTACATATTGATTCCAGTTCCCACTCCCTCCCTCTCTCTTTCCCTTTCTTCCCCCCTCACATGCACCCCAACCACCCTCCCCTCCCACCCACCTCCCACTCGACATGTAGGGTGATGCCATCCAGGAGGGGTCATCTAAATTTGTCAAGTCATTTTAAGTAGGGGCTAGGACTTCTCTCCTGTCTCTAGGTTAAGGCAGTATCCCTCCGTGGGGAATGTGCACCCAAAGTCCTTTTGTGCACCAGGAATACATCCTGGTTCCACTGTCTGAGGTCCCTTAGACTGCCCAGGCCTTATAGCTGAGACCCATGTTCAGGGGGTCTGAGTCAGTCCCATGCTGGATTCCCAGCTATCAGTCTGGTGGCCTGTTAGCTCCTCCTTGTTCAGGTCAGCTGTCTCTATGTGTTTCTGCAGCCTGGTCTTGTCCTCCCTCTCTGCATCTGGATTCTAGTGTTTAGTTATGGGTTTTTGCTTCTGATTCCAACAGGTACTAGATGAGGGCTCCATGATGGTGGATAAGTTAGTCGTTGATCTCATTATCTGGAAAGGGCATTTATGTTAGCCTTTCCACTGTTGTCTCTGTCTCTCTGTCTCTGTCTCTGTCTCTCTCTGTCTCTCTGTCTCTCGGCCAGTTAGCTCAGTTGGTTAGAGTGTGGTGCTAATAATGCCAAGGTCTCAGGTTTGATTCCCATAAGGGCCAGTTTCATGAGATTTATATGGCTACTTGCATCCTATAGAGTTTTGATTACTAGTATATCTTTTGAAATTAGAACTAAAACAGGATAAAGAAAACTTTTATTTTCTTTCTGTTCTTTCCTCTTCCATTTACACCTAACAATATTGTTTTCCTCTTTTGTTGTCAACCAGTCACAAGCTCAGACATACAGATTCTTATGCATCCCCCTAATACAAAAGGTGTGATGTTGGAGTGTCATTCAGGAGGCTGGTTCCCAATGCCTCATATGGAATGGAGAGACAGCAAAGGCGAGGTCATTCCAGCAACATCAAAATCCCACTCACAGAATAGAAACAAATTGTTCAGCATGACAATGGCCCTTCTTATTAAAGCCAACTCCCACCGGAATGTCACTTGCTGCCTTCGAAATCCTCTAACTCACCAGGAAGAAAGCATCAACATTGTCCTATCAGGTAAAAATATGTTTTTGTTCTCCAGGAATAGCCATTATTGCACATAATTATTACTGATTCTTCCTTGATTTTGTTCCTTAGGCCTTGCATTCTCTGGGGCTTACTTACAATCTAGTTTTTTGTCTCTCTTACTCTCTTTGATGTATTTAATTCTCAATCTATATTCTTGACAATTGTAGTGTGTTTATATGTCACTGTGATAAGGCATCAACATCATCATAAACAAGTTGGATAGGAAAAGTGTCTATTTGGATTATATACCTATATCTTAGTGATTTATCAAAGAAAGCCAGAGCAGGAGCTCCAATGGTCTGTCTATTTTTGTGCCAGTACCAAGCTGTTTTCAGTACTATAGCTCCATAGTAGAGCTTGAAGTCAGGGATGCTGTTGCCTCCTGAAGTTCCTTTATTGTACAGGTTTGTTTTGCCTATCCTGAGATCTTTTGTTTTTCCATATAAAGTTGAGTATTGTTCTTTCAAAATCTGTGAGGAATTGTGCTGGGTTTTTGATGGGGATTTCACTGAATCTGTGGATTTCTTTTGGTAAGATTGTCATTTTTACTATGTTGATCCTACCTATCCAAAACCATGGGAGATATTTCCATTTTCTGGTATCTTCTTTAATTTTATTCTGGAAAGAAGCAAAGTGCTTGCTACATAGGTCTTTTACTTGTTTGGTTAGCGTTACCTCAAGATATTTTATGTTGTTTGTGGCTATTGTAAAGGGTGATGTCTCTCTGATTTCCTTCTCAGCCTCTTTATTATCTGTATATAGTAATGCTACTTTTTTTTTTTCAGTTAATCTTATCTCCTGCCACTTTGCTGAAGGTGTTTATCAGCTGTAGGAGTTCCTTGGTAGAGTTTTTCCTGCCACTTATGTAAATATCATATCACCTGCAAATAGTGAAAATTTGTCTTCTTCCTTTTCAAATTGTATCCCCTTGATCTCCATTTGTTGTCTTATTGCTCCAGCTAGAACTTCAAGTACAATATTGAGGTGATATGGAAAGAGTGGACAGCCTTGTCCTGTTCCTCATTTTAGAGAAATCTCATTAAGTTTCTCTCCATTTAGTTTGATGTTGGCTGTCGGTTTACTGTATATTGCTTTTATAATATTTTTATTATTTTACATGTCAATCCCAGTTCCCTCGCCCTCCAACCCTCCCTCCCTCCCTTTTACCCTCTCTGCCCCCTCACATGCACCCTGACCACCCTCCCCTCCCATCCCCCTTCCCCAATTCCACATGTAAGGCAATGCCATCCAGGTGGGGTCATGTAGATCTGACAGATCATTTGAAGTAGGGACTAGGACTTCTCTCCTGTCTCTGGGTTAAGGCAGTATCCCTCCATGGGGGATGTGTTCCCAAGGTCCTTTTGTGCACCAGGAATACATCCTTGTTCCACTGTCTGAAGACCCTTAGACTGCTTGGTCCTTCTGGCTGAGACCATATTCAGGGGGGCCTGAGTCAGTCCCATGCTGGCTTCCCAGCTATCAGTCCGGGGGGGCTCGTTAGCTCCTCCTTGTTCAGGTCAGCTATCTTTATGTGTTTCTGCAACCCATGATGTTTTTGTATGTTCCTGTTATCACTAATCTCCTCAAGACCTTTATCATGAAGGGGTGTTGGATTTTGTCAAAGGCTTTTCAGCATGTAGTGAGATGCTCATATGGTTTTTCTTTTTCAGTTTGTTTATATGGTGGATTATGCTGATAGATTTTTGTATGTTGAACCATCCCTGAGTCATGGTGGATGATTTCTCTGATATGTTCTTGAATATAATTTGCAGTATTTTATTGAGTATTTTGCTATCAATGTTCATGAGGGATATTAATCTGTAGTTTTCTTTCTTAGTAGTGTCTTCATATGGCTTGGATACCAAGGTAATTATAGACTAGTAAAAAAGTTTGGCAATGACTCTTCTGCATCTATTTTGTCGAACACTTTGAGGAGTATTATTATTAGCTGTCCTTTGAATATCTGATAGAATTCTTCACTGAAACCATCTGTCCATGGGATTTTTTGTGGGGGGACAAGGGGGGCATTGGGAGAGTTTTGATGACTGCTTGTGTTTCATTAGGGTTTATAGGTCAATTTAAATTGCTTATCTGTTCTTTATTTAATTTTGGTAATTGATACATATCCATAAAATTGGTCCATTTTCTTTAAAGTTTCAAATTTTGTGGAGTACAGATTTCAAAGTATAACCTGAAGATTCTCTTGATTTTTCTCAGTATCTGTTGATATGTTCCTCTTTTTATTTCTCATCTTGTTAATTTGCATAATCTCACTCTGCTTTTTGATTAGTTTGGATAAAGGTTTGTCTATCTTGTTGATTTTCTTGAAGAACCAACTCTTTATTACATTGATTCTTTGTATTGTTTTCTTTGTTTCTACTTTATTGATTCTTCCCTCCATTTGATTATTTCCTGGTATCTGATCCTCTGGGATGAGTTTGTTTATTTTTGTTCTGGAGCTTTCAGTTGTGTTGTTAATTCTCTAATGTGAATATCCTCCAGCTACTTCATGTGGGCACTTAGTGCTATGAACTTTCCTCTTAGTATTACTTTCAATGTGTCCCATAAGTTTGAGTATGTTCTGTCTTCATTGTCATTGAATTCTAGAAAGTCTTTAATTGCTTTCTTTCTTGACCCAGGAATGTTGCAATTGCACATTGTTCTGTTTCCATGAGTTTGTAGGTTTCTGCAAATTGTGTTTTTGTTGAATTCTAACTTTAAAGCAGGGGGATCTATTAAGATACAGGGGACTATTCCAATTTTTTTATATTTGTTGTGGTTTGCTATGTTGCCAAGCATGTGGCTGATAATAGAGAAGGTTCCTTCCATGTGGATCTGAGAAGAAGATATATTCTTTTGTGTTTGGATGGAATGTTCTATAGGTGTCTGTTAAACCCAATAGGGTTATAACTTCTGTTAGCTCTTTTGTTTCTTTTTTAAGATTCTGCCTAGTGATTCTGTCTAATGTTAAGAATGGGGTGTTGAATTCTCCCACTATAAGTGTGTGAGGTTTTATGTGAGATGTATGTGAGCTTTAGTAATGTTTCTTTTACGTATATGGGTGCCTTTGTATTTGGCACCCATGTTCAGAATTGAGACTTCATCCTGATGGATTTCTCCTGTAAGGAATATGAAATGACCTTCTTCATCTCTTTTTATTTATTTTAGTTTGAAGTCTAGATTTTTAGATATTAGTATAGGTACACCAGCTTTTTTCTTGGGTCCATTTGATTAGAATGTATTTTCCCAACCATTTACTCTGAGGTAGCATCTGCCTTTGAAGTTGAGGTGTGTTTCTTGTATGCAGCAGAAGGATGGGTTCTGTCTTCATATCCATTCTGTTAGCCTGTGTTTTATTATAGGTGAGTTAAGACCATTAATATTGAGGGGAAGTTAAGTACCATTGATTGTTAATTCTTGTTTGTTTTAGAGTTGGTGGTGGTGGTGGTATTATGGGTATATTTGCCTGCTTTTGGGGGGGGGGGTTCTGGTAAAGTGGGATTATCTATTGCCTATGGTTTTGTGACTATATTTAATGTCCTTGGGTTCGAGTTTTCCTTCCAGAACTTTCTGTAGGACTGTATTTGTGGATATGTATTGTGAAAATCTGGCTTTGTCATTAAATATCTTGTTTTCTCCATTTATAATGATTGAGAATTTTGCTGGGCAAAGTAGTCTGGGCTGTTATCCATGGTCTCTTAGTCTTTATAGAACATCTATCCAGGACTTTCTGGCTTTTACAGTTTCCATGGAGAAGTCAGGTGCAATTCTGATTGGTCTGCCTTTATATGTTACTTGGCCTTTTTCCTTGACTGCTCTTAGTATTCTTTCTTTATTCTGTATGTTTGATGTTTTGAATATTATATGGTGAGGGGACTTTATTTTCCTTTGGTCCAGTTTGTTTGGTGTTTGGTACACTTCTTGTACTTTCATAGGCATGTCTTTGTCTGGTTAGGAAAGTTTTCTTCTACTATTTTGTTGAGAATATTTTCTGCACCTTTAAGCTGGGTTTCTTTGCCTTCTTCTATACCTATTATTCTTAGGTTTGGCCTTTTCATGGTGTCCCACATTTCCTGGACATTTTATGTTAAGTATTTGTTGGATTCAAGATTTTCTTTGGTCAATGTGTATATTTCCTCTAGTTTATCTTCAGCGCCTGAGATCCTCTCTTCTTTCTCTTGTATTCTGTTGGTTATATTTGCATCTGTAGTTTCTGAACATTTACCCAGCTTTTCTGTTTCCAGCATTCCCTCTATTTGTGTTTTCTTTATTGTCTCTATTTCAGTTTTCATGTCACAGACTGTTTGAATTGTTTCCTTCATCTGTTTGATTGTTTTATCTTGGCTTTCCTTGCTTTCTTTAAGAGATTTGTTGATTTCTTGCTTTTGTTTGTTTTTTCTTCCATTTCTATAAGGGATTTTCTCATATCCTTTTTGAGAGGCTCTATAATTTTCATGAAGTTATTTTTAAGGTCATTCTCTTCTGCTTCATCTGCGTTGAGATGTTCAGGTCTTACTGGCATAGAATCCCTAGCCCCTGGTGTGTCATATAAGTCTTTCTGTTGTTGGAGGTGTTCTTATATTGTTGTTTTCCCATCTCTTCTTCCAGTGGGTACATGTGGGGTCTCTCCCTCTCCTCTCTACTTCTCTAACATAAAGGTGGAGAGGCAGAGCAGGAATGGTGCTCTATGCTGCTGGCTCCTTTGTTTTGCCTCCAGGTCGCTCTAAGGGATTCAGTGGCTTGAAGCCCAAGGCATAGTTTTTGAGGCCTTACTATCTTCATACTTCCTTTTATCTCATGACTTTAAGTACCACAAGAATTCTTACTCTTCCTTAAGATACATCTCCTCTGTTGCTCTGCTCTCGTCTGAAAACTCATAAGTCAGCCCAAAATTTAATAAGTATCAAAAAAGGAGCACAATAAGAACTAAACTGTAAATTCAGTGTTACTCCCAATCTTGCAGAATTGAGTGCTTTGGAGTAGCAATTCATATTTTCAGTTCTCAGAACCAAGTCATTAAAGTCACCAATTACTTCAATTTCCTATCACATTCATGCATACAAAAAAATAATGCTGGGTCTACCATTAAAATATAGCAGACTTTCATTGTTACTGGAGTCTCAGGACAGATGTCTGACTCAGGGCCCCAGATAGCAGTTGTTCCAATGACCTAGATTTAGACACATGTCCTAAAAAAGAAAAATGGGTGTAAAACCTGAAAACAAAAGAAGAGAATTTAATTTCACTCTGACCACATTGATAGAACATGTCCAAAGATGCCCTGTGACAATATAGGCCTTGAAATTATACAGCCATGAATAAACAAAAGCTAAAGTTGAGAGGTTTTGAGCAGTCCACTGAATATTCTTTCCACCACAAAGGTTCCTATCTATAAGGACTTGAGGGGAGTGCTCATCATTTGGTGTTAACCTGGAATCATGGGATTTAAGATGAAATTATAGATCCAGAAAATCAGAAAAGAATGAATCCTAGAGAAAAATGATCAGGTCAATAATTGAATTCTCCTTCATCATTTCTCATCAGCTTTTCATAGCCATCTAAGCCTGCATCATTTATTATGGTTTAGAAATAGCATACTAAAACTCTCCTGTTTCCTATCTAGCTTATGGTGGTATAACCTGAGCTTAAGGATAGAATAGATTACCTAAACTACCATCTATGTTAAGTACTCTGAGGTTGGTCTCTATTTTGCTTATAGTTAAACAACCCCCAATTTTTTTTCAGTTATCTGTGTCACTGTTACTCCCATTGCTTCACCTCCCAATGTTCTCCTTCTCTGCCTCATCTATTCATGCATCCATGTAGATGAGCTCTGTCTTCATATCTTTCCTCTAGTTATTTCTTCTTCCAACACAATGTAAATTCAACTAACTTCCCAAACTTCCTCAATTCCATATTCAAATCTCACTTCCTCATAATATCACTTTGAAGACCAACACAAAGCATGCAACCTGCCTCTACACATCTGGAGGTCCCTGTTTCCTTACTCTTTTAACTTTGATTCCTTTATTATTACTCCTTTTAAACCTATTATGCAACTCTCTTATGCTATTTCTCTAGATCAGTATCCTTTCCAAAAGAAACAATCTTTGGTGATTTTATATACTGACCCTCCAACTGCTTCAAATATACATATGTGTGTATGTAAATAAGGAAAGGTAAAATTGAAATAATTACTAACTTATTACATCTTCATTGAGTAACAAAATGTATATTTTATGATCTTATATTTTCTTTAAATATTTACAAACTCTAAACAACATGTTATAAAATAATTACAATAAACACAAACTTTGCACACTGTTGTATTTTTAGGAAATGGAAAATATTTAACCATATGTTCCATTCATGAAACATAAAAAAAGTAAAGTTTTATGACAAAGACAGGATCATGATCAAACTTACTCATGCAAGAATGTGTTGTTGAAATGACTAGCAAGTTGGCAAGGTTCCAATTGAAGATCACTGGGTTACAAGGCATGAGAGTTTATCTGGGATATGAACTAATACCTGGTAAATTACGTGCATGAAAGTAACAACTGAATACAGGTTTGTTCCACAACAAACAAACATTCAAAATTATATAGGAGAATTTTCAGTGGGCTCTAAATTGCCTCATGCTAGAAACAATGACATGTTTTAGATGGTGTAGGATTTTTATCTGGGAAGAAAGATTGACCAGGACCAGGAGGGTAGCATACGTGGGACTACCAGATGAGAAGGCTGGGGAGAGGAAAGCATAAAGAAGTAGGGAAGAGACGCTATGTTGGCAAAGGAGTAACATGCAGGATTGCAGGTAAACCACAGCCTCATGACAATCCATACATTAATAGAAATTGGTTAATAATTAAGACAGATAGCCAATAAAAAAGCCTGAACCACCAGTCAAACATTTTATACTTAATAAAAGTCTTTGTGTTTATTCATGGCAAAGCAGTTGTGGGGCCAGGCAGAACAGAAACCTCCATTTTCAAATAAGAGGAAAGGAAAATTTATACAAACTTAAGTCACTGAATATATTCAGGAATAGTAGTCCCAGAACCAATGAGTGCACTGAATAGAGCAGGGCTCATAACATGGAACTTAAGATATGAGTTCTGCAACATTGATTTGGACTGGCTTTATGATTCTCATTGGCAGCCCACACTTGAACATTGGGGAAGATTTAGTTCTGTCTCTTCCTTTTCACCCAGGAAGCTTATGAGGCAGTATTAATGGAAAGAATTGAGAGAAATAGCCTCCACATACCTTTATATCCACCACACTCTAAATGATATCTGGCTTATTTGACTCTGGAAAAAGTTTGTTCTTTATCTAACCCATGATAACTACCTCTCTACACTTGCCTAGGCCTACTATTCCAAGGTGGTAGACAGGAATTGTATCAAGCTTCAAATGAATCACTATTCTTAATGATGTATGAATAAGCAAGTTTTCTCAGTGATGACCTTTGTGACTCAAATTTCAGACAAACTGTTTTCATGGAGAAGAGTTTGGATACAGATTCTGAGTTTAATAACATGTGTGCTAATAGCCTTCCTCTTGACTTCCTGTGTTCGGCAACATCTCATATTTGGTAAGTATGTATGAGTGGTATGGAACAAGTAAATAATGGGAAGTAGCTAAAGCTTTTCAATCATTGCTTCTCATGCCAGTCTTCCCAGAAAGTCCTTAACTCTTGGGTCTCATGTTATATAGGACCTTACCTATGAGTTTTAGTAGGTCTTATTTATTTATTTATTATTTTTAAATTTATTTTATTATCGATCCCAGTTACCTCTCCCTCCCTACCTCTTTTCCTCTCTCCCACACTCCCATGCACCCCCAGACACCCTCCCCTCACCCCCCCAATCCACATGTAAGGTGTTGCCTTCCAGGAGGGGTCATCTAAATCTGTCAAGTCATTTTAAGTAGGGGCTAGGCCTTCTCTCCTGCCTCTAGGTAAAGGGAGTATCCTTCCATGGAGAATGTGTTCCCAAGTCCTTTTGTGCACCAAGGATATATCCTGGTTCCACTGGCTGAAGTCCCTTAGCCTGCCCAGGCCTTCTAGCTGTGACCCATATTCAGGGGGTCTGAGTTAGTCTCATGCTGGATTCCCAGCTATCAGTCTGGGTGTCCATTAGCTCCTCCTTGTTCAGGTCAGCTGTCTCTATGTGTTTCTGCAACCTGGTCTTGTCCTCCCTCTCTGCACCTGGATTCCAGTTCGGCTCAGTGTTTAGTTGTAGGTGTCTGCTTCTGTTTCCCTCAGCTACTAGATGAGATCTCTTATGATGGTGGATAAGTTAGTTGTTGATCTCATTATCAGGGAAGGGCATTAATGTTAGCCTTTCTACTGTTGCTCAAATTGCTAGTTGGGGTCAGTCTTGTAAGTCTCTGGACATTTCTCTAGGTTCAGTTTTCTCTTCAAACCTAAAATGGCTCCCTCTTTTATGGTCTCTCTACCTCTATCTCTCTCTCTTTTCTCTCATCTGTTCCTCCCCTGAGTCAATCTTCCTAGTCTCACATGCTTTCCTCTCCTCCCTTTGTCTTTCTCCTAGCTTCCTCTCACTCACTGTTTCCCCCTCCACTCCCAATATGGTCAGGAGATCTTGTCCTTTTACCCTTCTGTGAGGGACCTCATAGGAATCTCTTAGAATCCTCCTTGTATCCTAGTTTCTCTGGTTATGTGTATTATAGGCTGGTGATCCTTTGCTCTATGTCTAAATTCCATAAATGAGTGAGTACATACCATATTCCTCTTTTTGTGACTGGGTTAGGTCTTAATAATAAAAGCCCAGAGTCAGATACAGAGGTAAATACTGAAAGTTCAGAGAGACAAAGGAGCAAATGACAGCCACACCTAAACTCCTTAACTTCTTAGGCAAAAAAAGAGGGATCGTCTGTGTTCTCCGATCTTCATTCCACTCTCTGCCCAGCCATATCACTTCCTGTCTGTCTGTACAGACCTCCCGACCTCTATGGCTAGATAGTAGCTAGCTCAACTGTCTGATTTTCAGGCAATCTTTATTTTATTTGCTACAGCACAATAACTCTATACAATATATTCAGGAAATAAATACATCAACAATGTCTAATCTATTAGCAATCGACAAAGCCAGAGAAAATACTCCCTATCTATCTATCCTATCTTGGTGAATCTAAAAATTTGTACCTAATTTACATTCTATCCTAACATGCATTACCAACCAAAACATTGTATTTTTATATTTCTCAACCTCAAAACATATATATATATATATATATATATATATATATATATATATATATTTACCTCATTGGTGGATTTCCTTCATGAAACTGGTAATAAGAAAAACTATACCTATAAAATCTTCAACTTGATCAAAGACCCAAAAAGAAATAATATTACCTGACTAAGCAAGAAGTTCAAACAAGTGGCTGTTAGATATGACAGAAACTTCTGACTGCCTGGACAGTCACCAAAGTTCCTGTACAATGTTTGGGCATCCAAGCAAATCTGAAAAATGTTTCTGTGAAGCCATATATTCTAAAGGGCTGTCTGACCTTTTCTTATCAAGGTTTTAGTAATAATTTCTTTTGTGTCCTTCTTGTCCAATTTGGACAGCATACTGTCAAAAGTTGAGGCAAAAGCAATCTCTTGCACAATGGCTTATTTTTGCCACCAAGAATGTAAACTCCACATGGTGTTTCAATGTCCATCATCTTCTAGAAATAAATTGGTGCTGCAAGGAGCAGACATATCTCATTGTCGTATAAAAAGAATCTATGGTATTGAAATAGCTAAAATGCCATATTCTGTAGGTCTCTGAAGTATTTGAAGATGACCTGTCTAGTGCATCTCTGTTTGACCTTGTAAACATACCAAATATGACTACAAGTTTGATTGTAATAAGTGACTAATTACAAACCTGAATTTCCTTATCTGAAATGGGTGGTAATAATAGCTATCAAGGGCAAAAAATGTGTATTGCATTGTTAAATGAGTTGCAAAGGTACCTTGAAGAAAATTAGAAATGTATATACAGTATATTCTAACAAAAATAATTTCAACTTTATATCAATATGTAAAAATCAAGCCAATTTAAATTTTTAAAGCTATTAGCTGTTTTTGGTTTAAAATGCATTCAATAATCTAAATTTTTATGCTATTTATAAATGCCCTTTTTTCTTTTCATAGTGGATTAAATAATCTATGCTTGTATTTATCATATCTATCTATATTTCTTTTTTTTCCTTTTCAAAATAAGAACGCTGAATCTAATCTTCTTTGTTCAAAAATTTTCCTGTCATTACCAATAACAACTTATAAACAACCCTCCTAAAAAAAGACAAACATCCAAAACACATTGAATGACCAAAAACTACTCACCCAACCTCTGCTTTCTGTGGGCAACAGCATCTTCAGGGGATCCTATAAAGAAAAATTTGGGTTAATTGTCAAGTCCTGGAATAGGTAGCTATAACATTTGTTATCCAGTCTCTGCATAATAGGAAAGGGCAAGGCTTATCTCAGGTCTAGGCTAGAGTAGTCTATGCAGCTGGATCATCTCAGCTAGCCACTTCAAAATTGTCGTGAGCTGTTGGTAGTCTAATACCTATCTTTAGGAGTTTTTCAGTTTAGTGGTGTTATCATAGTCCTGGTGGAAGCATCATTGTGGGGACCCATCATCCTTTTGGAGACTTCAAAGGTCACTGTTCCACATGGTCATGGTTCATTTCAGAAAACTTAAACATTTTAAATGTCATATGCAACAGATTTCAACGAAGTTAAAAGACCAATATTTGGTATGTACATCCAGAGTACAAACAGTTAATTCCCAGTTACATGATAGAGACTCAAACCCTAAATCATGTACAGGAAGCTAGATGATGGCTTTTTCTAGAATTAATTAGTATTTTATGTGACCATTGATATAATAACAAAAACTGTAAAATATATACATATATATGTATTAATATTATAAATTTTGAGGTAATATTAATACCTTAACAAAAGCTGTTAAAGAGTCAAAATAAAACTAAAAGATTATGAGATTAGTGCCAATACAAAATTTCTTATATTTTTTTTTCTTCAGTTTCTCTTCAGACATGAGACAGAAATTTTAAATTTTACTTTAGCAAGCATGTTTGAGTTTAGAGAAGGAAAGAGCTACACTCCAACTCCAAAACCAATTTTAAATCTTTATTGCTCTGAAACAACAAAAAAGCCTATTTGTATCATGTATCTGTAGAGAAAAGCAGAAACAAACATTTGGGGAAATTTATGAAATTTTATCCTGTTGGAGATGTGTAGGCTAATTTACGTTTTTTCTCAGGACAATTTGTGGATGATTTGGGTTTTTTTGTTTGTTTTGTTTTTTTTCTTCAGATGTCTCATTTATCCACTGGTCTTCAGATTTCCATTATGGAAAGTTGTAGTGATCAAATGAGAATCATTTGTTAGTTTTAAAGTTAGTTTAAATTGAACAGCCATTCTGTTTTATTAACTATCACTTCTAATCAAGAAACGTCTCTTGGTCAAATTTAATCTTTATTAATTTTGATGGTATACATAGCTTTTCTTCTCCTGTAGAAACAAAAGCAAATCACCTTCCCCAACATAACACATACCCTAGTTTTCATTCTGAGGTCAGCACATCTTTAAAGTATACAGGCTGATCTAATTCTGTAGTTTTTCCCTATTAGCCAATGTATCTCTGCAGCTGTCATTCATTTCTTATTAGCATTCAGAAAATTAAAAGTTAATGAAACATTATTCAGTCTATATCTAGGGGACTTTGTTATTCTTTTCTGTTAATTTGGCATATCCTTTAGAGTTTGATTTGATCTTTCTGTAACTGCTTACCCTGTAAGGTTATGTAGTATTGTAAAATAAGTTCTTAATTAGTCTAGATAATGAAAGACCAGAGTCAGATATAGAGGGGAATGCTGAGAGATCAGAGAGAGGGAGCAAGCCATAGTACATCTTATCTTCTAAGCATCTCTGCAGAGAAGGAAGTGATTTCCTGTTTGTCCATGCTTATATGCTGTTACTGCCCAGCTATGTCATTTCCTGCCTGTATGTACAGACCTCCAGACCTTTATAGTTAGCTAGTGGCAGTTTCTACCCAGATATGTCACTTCCTGTCTTACAGACCTCCAGACCTATATGGATAGGTAGTGGCAGACTCCATTCTCTGACCCCAGACAGGCTTTATTTGTGCAAGAAAGATATCACCACATATCCCCTTTTTGTGCAATTTTTTTTCTGTGTGTTTTTATTTTTTTCCATTTATTTAAAATTTATTTATTTATTTTATATAACCAAGTCCATTTATAGAAAAACAAACATTTATAGACAATATTTGGGAATTTGGGCATCGTTCTTTCCAAACTACTTCCTGCTGGTAAGGGGCGCTGTCATGGGGGATTCTAGGAAGATGAAGAAATCCTGGCTGTAGTTTGTAAGGCTGCTTTTTCCAGCTGTTTTGAATGTAGGATCACCTGGTACTCTGTTTCAGGCGGTCTGGCTTGATCAAACCACATTGGTCTGGAAGGAATCCACAGCTTTTCATTTTCTGTGGAAACAAAAATGGAAATCCTTTTCCCCAGTAACTTGAGTGAGA